CTGCCACATCTAGTATCTCTATATCTCTCAGATCGGTTCGCGTAAAGTTTTGATAGCAGATGTTCGCCAATATTTGAGAAGCCGCTTTTATTTAGTTTTCATTTTCCGCGTCGAGGCACCACAACGATAACGACATACGTTATATTATATCGTGTTTATATTGTCTAGTTCGGATGCCGGCTTTTGAGGTCAATCGTAAACAATTATCAATATTGTTTTATTCTAACATTATCTGAATGAGATTATGTTCGCAATACATAGCAGAGTTATTTTTATATAAATACATATTATTCCTGTAAATGCTGTGTTAGTGCTTTACAGGTTTATTTTATTGATACATATGAACGCTAAAACGGAAACAAATATAATTAGGATAACTTTAATTACTCTCACAAAAATATAAATTTAGTATTTACGTAGGACTCGATAGGAGCACGGACGGACGTACGGAAAGTCGAATATGAAAACAAACCTTATTACTGAGAAAACCCATTTTATACGGTAATTCGAATGGGAGTTTATATTAGAAATCTTTCACAGACCAGGTGCATTCGACCAGATGGCTAGATAATTGGGCCGTTGGTATATTTGTCTAGTGGAATTAATTTGACAAGTCATTTGTTCGAGTTAACACGCAATGCTGCCACGCTCTTTGATTCGTACACAAAAAATGTTATTATTCTCCTTAATTCCGATTACCGTGTTTGATCAATTAATTAAAAATTCGTTGTATGCGAGTAATATGAAAACCCCCTATTTTTATATATTTATGTCGGTTTATCCGCAAAAGGTTTACAAGTAAGCCAGGAGTATATAATTTTGTTGGTTTGTAATTTACTACATTTACAAACCACATGTTCCGTTCTCAGTTCCACGACATGGTTTAAACGGATGCAAAATTAAATAAAAATCAACTTTCATTGGAAATAGTACGACAATATAGCCTAACGTGATGGGTAAAATTGAAACATTAAAAATACAATAGGTATATTGTAACAGAATGATCTTATATTTTACAAACTGTAGTAATGTCAAAATCGTAAATATACCACTGCACTTCGAAAATACTGTACCTTATTCGTTTGTATTAAAAACTAAGCTCAGTTTTAAATTATTTCTACAACAAGTATTGACTTGAAGGAAATCGTTTTCACGATTCAGTGTTAAAATCAAATCGTCGCCGTTTCACACAGAGCTTATTATGTTAATTTCACAAATTCCTATTCATTTAGTTTTCCGCGTTGTACCCGATAAATAATAAACGCACCGCTTGTCTGTTCCCATCTATTGTTGGTACTAATGGCTCGGTAATTACGTTTGTGTCAAATTACACGTGTCCGTCTGTCATTAACATGGAACACGGTGAAAATGTTATGGAAAGTGATAGTTTTTTATTGCTTCCAAAGAGACGTTTCACTTTGCGTTTTAGGGTTCCCCGATTCGCACTCTTACTACTGAGTTCAATTCTTTGTAGAGAGTATTCACTTCGAAGAAATCAAAAAGCATGTTTATTCATTTCAACTTACGGAACGGGGCATTTGAGCGTTCGAAGCCCCCAAAGTCGGGAACAAATGTCGTTAATCTAATAAATTAATTGGTAGACCAAAACACGGGCCGATCGACGGGAACTCGCCTCCGACGATTCATTTCCTGTCAAGACTCCCATAAAACAATGGGGCGGTGTCGCGGACTAAGGCTTTACACACGCGAGGCCTTTATTAAACATATACATTTATTTCATTACCCTTTTTTTTTCATGTTAAAGTAAAAACTGTAACGCTAGCGCCATCTGCTCCAACGTAGTAGGTTCATTTGTAACGTCTGTCCGTTAGTTAAAATACTTTGTAAATAAGTTAACTAATACATCTCGCGTCTTAAACCGTTAAAAGCTTCAGATAGATAACTTTCAACTATAATTAATTAAAATAAATTTAAATGCCCTGTCTATAACTGGCCTAACTGCGCCCCAGCGTGACAAATTAGCCGACACAAATTCCCGATCTAATTGCGATCCTACACAATCGTAATTAGATTTGTTAACAATCGACATTGTCAGCTTTCTGCATTACAGATTTACTCATTAGATCATTTTCTAATTATGTAATTTACTTAACTGCCGAATATATGCAAGAATGATTCCTTTTTAACTTCTTGTATCTTAATAATTTAAATTAATTATTGTTACGTTCTTAGTGCATACAATAGCGTGCCCCAAAACTATATCGTAGATAGATTTTTACAAAATTCTAGTTCTGTTTACTATACAATCTAAAAGGGCAACCACCCAGAGGTAAGTATATAGATGTTCGAATTAAATGTACGGTAACTACATGTATGTACATTTAACCAGAAGAAGCGCAAACAAATATATACTGCGTATTAACGGTGAATAAATTAACTAACAAATAAGGGCTAAGCACAACTATAATTTATTAAACTTTGCTAAAGTTTACCTCTTTAAGCAATTATTACGATAAATCAGACGCCCTCTAACTCTACAATGTATTATGCTCAAACTCAAATATCACTAAGTTTTACAAGAACACAGAATCTTTCGAACAGTTGCTACAACCTGTGTCCTGTGTTTTTCCTGTATAACTCAGTCTTCATTTCATCTCTCCTGAATTTCAGTTTTGATTGCATACAACAAAAAAACAAACATACATAAAACGTTATATAAATTAGTAAAATTTAAATTCAATATAGTCCCATTGATTGACAAACTGCTATTAACTTTATACTGTGCGAAAACGTTATTTAGTTGTCATGACGACGCTGAAAGCCAGTAACAAGTTTACAAGTTTTATAATCAATTGTCTTCAATTTTATTAATCATAAGTAATCTAGTAAGAAGTGAGGGGTGGAAACGACTTTTGAACTTTATAAAATGTTTGGGGTGAGTTGATGTTTATATTTAGATGAATTTAACGGAACCGTATTCCATTAAACAGATTAGTATGTAATGTTACTTATATTTAGTATCTTTCTATGACCTAAATCAGATTATGATTGTAACTGTAAGCATACCAATTCGTGTGAAGATCACTAAAACATTACTCGAGAAACTTCATTAATATTTAACAAAGACAGTTGAAAAGATATTTCTACATCTGTAGGAAATAAAATATGCTAACTGTTTGTACTACTTGCACTTGTAGAGTGCCACTTAAATAAACGTAGACAATTTAAACATAGTAAACAATGTTTTTCTTTTACAATATCAGAACAAAGGGAAATATAAAAATCTTTGTTTAATATTTCTTAACAGCCAAGGTATGAGAGCTGGTATTACAAGGCCACGTCACCGTTTTCATTGAAACTTTGAACAATATTCTAAGAAAAAAGTGACTTTCAAAAAACCATTTTCCACACATGTCCCGAAGTCAACGATCGCTAAACTCCTAAAGTACAGTCAGCATACAAAGCGCGAGACCTCCTCCACACTCGAGCCACCCGCTTTGCAGCGCGACTGTCCCATGAATATAAGATTCGAGCGGGTATCATTTTATCAACTTATTCAACCGTTATATTGGATCCGGCAAAACAAAAACCGACTTTCGCAAATTAGATTATTTCCATTTGGGTTCGCGTTTACGAAGAATCTTTTTTGACGGCACAATTTTTGAAACTCCTTCGTAAACCGTTTAGTTGTTTATTGCAGAAGCCTCGATCACTGCGAGAAAGACTTTTGAAATTAAACCCTAAATTGATTCAACGAGAAAATGGGAAATGAATTGATACTCTTGTTAGTATCGAGCTTCGAGATGCTACAGTTTTAATAGTGAAAACATCCCGCGTTTATGCCAACGAATACGAGACCCGTATCTGAGTGAATAAACTTGGGGACATGCATAATGGCACTCAAAGTTAACACACAGAAGCGGCAACAATTACCACAAATGGGAAAATTAAAGTTTTTAGCTCAGTCCGCGAGATAATGCAACTCGGTTGGCAGCAGACCAAGCGCTCCTAATGTAATCGTTGTGACGAGCTTTATGTCCCAACTTAAGGTCGTTTTCCTGCTAATCTCTTAATTGATGGCCCCGTCCTTTTTATTGAGAATTTTCTGTTCTTCCACTTTATTACTTTCTCTAATACGTTCTGGTCACTACGCCACTAAATAGGAATAGGATTATGTCTATATATACAACGAGTAAATTTCTTAATTATTCTAACGGATGCAAATGCGAATCATATTTCGAGATGAAATAATTTTACGACCTACTTAACATCGACGTCGATAAGAACATTCGAGAATCTTTCAAGTCTCATTAGACGAGTTTCAAGGTTTCTGGGATTATTAAAACTTTTGCAATGACCTCGATTGTCATGCTGAAAGAATTCAATCGTTCATCCCTCATCTAAATTTTCAAATGCCGTACTTAATTTCGCAGTAAATTTGCAAGTTATTTACATCCATTTAACAGACAATTTAAAAAATTTAATCGTCGGCGTGTCTGTTTAATCGATTTAAACAGACACGCCGACGGCAAATATATTTCTTCTTAACATTATTTTGCATCTCAATTTACACTCATGTGTGATAATTATGAAGAGAACTACAACTTAATTAAATAGGGGAGTGAAATTATTTCTACCTTGGCAGTTGCTTATTGTAGCGGATTTAATATGAAACACGCTGAACACTAATATACATATTGCTAAGTACATACATATAAAAATAATACATTTAAATATTGTCTATTTAAAATTAGTGTGTCTACAAGATAAAAATAAGCTCGATCAAAGGCATACAATTTGCCCCCTAGTTACACATAATTCGATAAACAAATTAAAAACAAGGCACAACGCATGTAAAAAACACATTACGACATAACCACTGCGCGGCAAATCCATTCGAAACGCCGAGATTACCTTAATGGCTAATATTCACATACCATTAACTCAGCGAGACGAATTATTGATAACCGCTGGTGCCGCCGGCTCCAGTGTTCGTTGCGCACAGCTGGTCGAACCTAGTATAACATTGTTCATGGGAAATGATCATTTGTTTTATTATTGCAGTACACTTCGGGTTCGCGGCGTCCGTCGGTGAGAAGGCAATATTAGCGTGCAGAAGCCACGGACAATCGATGCTGGAATGCCACAACGTTCTATACCCTAACTCCAAAGTGAGAGTTCCCATAGACCTGCTTCTTTATCCGCACATGGTCCTCATCGGATTCAGAAACCACAACCGCGAAGAACCCGCTTGGAAATGTGGAGGTACTCTCATAAGCGACCGGTGGGTCATCACGGCAGCACATTGTAAGGCGGATCCGACATCAGGGCCTGCGAAAGTTATGAGAGTCGGAACAGCGACGTTTGAATTCGATGAGGTAGACGAATTAGCACAAGAGAGAGATATCGTCGCTATCGTTCCCCATCCGAAATTCGCTCCACCGTCCAAATACCACGACATAGCGTTAATGAAGGTCGACCCGCCGTTCATCTTGAGTAGGGATATACGTATTGCTTGCTTGCAAGTGAGCGCTGACCTTCCTCCCGTGGAGTTGACCGCTATCGGCTTCGGCACAACCAGGTCTGGAGCGGCGTCGGGAAGTCAAACGTTGATGAAAGTGGACGTAGACTTGATAAATAGTACCGTGTGTAACAGATCTATGAAGACTCTGATACGGAGGAGAATTTTGGCAAATGGTATAACCGATGAACAAATGTGCGCGGGGGATTATGAGAACGGTGGAAAGGACACTTGTCAGGGCGATTCGGGAGGGCCACTACAGTACATGGAGGACCACGTGGACTGCCTGAACACGTTCCCTTTGCATGTGCTAGTAGGCGTGACATCGTTCGGTAGAGATTGTGGAAGACGAATGGCCCCCGGCGTCTACACTCGCGTCTCCAAGTACATTGACTGGATTGAGAGTATCGTATGGCCGGGTGTGTTTATTCCTTGATATTAAGACCATTTTATAAGCCAATAAGCATAGTTATTAAAGAACTACTTTTTATGACCTATCAAAAGACCTCGTTATCGTGTTTACGCGGGATCGAATCTCTCGTGCTCGGGACAATAACAAGAGTTATGCAAATTAGGAGGTGGAAACTGTCATGGATTAGTCCTATTATACATGTACCATCAAAGCTATTTTAATATATTATTGTAGTCTTTATTTTTAATAGTATCGTCGAGGTCTGTCCATGTAACAGAAACGTAAAATCTTACGTTAATTAAAAAGTTTAATGGCAAAAATAATTGTATCATTCATCCAATTAAATGAACACGCTTCAGTCCTTTTACGAGGTTGTAAAGTGTAAACCACAAGCTGCAATAACATACACTCGAAACAATAATAAAATTATTATTTTATAACTCAAGTTCTAAGTGGGGTTTTGGTAAACACGACTTAAACTGCTCATTTATAATGCCCCAACACCGTATGACAATATTAACACATAATATTTCGTGCTAAATTGATGATCTATCAAAAGCATAATTCAATTTGAATGTTATTAAATAGGTAATGTCCTCATTACATCATTCGCATTTAATGTTATTCTCTTATAAAAAAATACACAAGATAACCATATTTACATGATGTATGAGTACTACTGTTTATTGAATATTTCGCGTTTTAAACCGTTACAGTGTATTATTTAAATGAAGTTATTGCATTGAACCATTGTTTTTTCCTAACAGAACGCGTTTGACGAGAACCAAAGTGCTTTATTTTGAAACAATATAGCTCTAACGGGCTGATACACTCAGCTGAGATCATAATCTGAGCATATTTTCGTTCTTAAAATATTCGTCCGATCCTCGTCTTACGTGTAACAGAAGGGGGTGTTATCTGCCGCGTGTCAAGGTGAAATCCACGAGCTCGTGTGGAAATGTATGCGCGCTCTCGGAGTAATGTGTTTTCGCGTGTTATGTTAAAATGTTTATTTTTTGAAATGAGCGAGGATTTTTCTCAGCCTTCAGTTAAAAAGCTCCGATAAGGTTGTTGATAAACACTCTGAAGTCATTACACGTAGGAAAATATTTGTTTTTCTTTTGTCTTTTACTTGAACTGCGAAGGTTATCTTATCTATCCTTATAAATGTAAATTACTTTACATCAACATTCTATCATTACAACTATTATCCAGGTGAAGGTGAAGTGTTTGATATCCAAAACGATCAAAAGATGTTCCCTAACCGCGTATGGTTCAATTTCGACATCAAAGCTCGCCCATGAGCGTTTCGCATAAAAATAGCTTGTGAATTGTACATTGCTATATCATATACATATACAACATATATGATAAATAAAACAATGCATATGAACGCGACGTTAATAGTTTTGTCACTCTTACGTACGTAGTGAGATTCTATGCAAACACCTCATTGTTCCATCTAAATATCTCGAAGCTAAGGAGCGATGTACGTTTCAGTGTAACAAATTGTAATCCCACTGGAAAAGTTATAAGCCGAAAGCCGATCGAAATATCAAAGGCATTTCGCGCGATCCCCTTAACACAACACAGCCAACTTGTATCGCATGTTTATTGTAAGCAATTCTACTTGTTTGGTTTCTCTATGAAAAAGAGTGGCGCATTTATTCAGTGTTCCCTATTCTTAGCATCAGAAACGGTTAAAGGTTTGTGTTGAACCTCAGTACACGATTATCTCTCTAATCACTTTACGCATTATTATAGAAGACGTACGTCGTTAGTACGTCGACGGGGTCACCGGTATAATGGTAGTAAATGTAATAATCTACGGGTCGTGGGTTCGATTTCCACCGGATCCAAAATTTTAGTAATAAATTTATAATTTTTCTGAAACATGTTGAACTTTGTCTGGATATTAAAAGGGTGGTAGCAATATCGAAATTCCGTTCGGGGCACGGACCACCGTCCTCAGATGAAAAATCTTCTTCTCTATCATAAATAAAAGACGTAGCGCGCTTTAGTTAAATATTACAACACAAGATACATATTTTAAGTGAAATCCTGTTTTCCTTATAAAATAGAGACTTATTTCCGCATCCGTCCTGATCGAACCTTATGTAGTATGACGTAATTCACGCAACAATTAATATTGAAAGATAAATTCAATTACGATCTATCTGAAACAGAATTAAGCGGTTAAAATTATTTGAGTCTTTTGTGGCGGAGAGCACTTCGCTCCACAACATGGCGGTGGGGCAACCTCGCTCGCAATCATCACTCCATTGTTTTAAATGTCTGCTGAGACGGTTTTAGGTAATGGGTTTATATTTCTCCGTAAACGCGTTTATCATTTCCTTAAACAATTTTGGTACTGAGTACCTACGACCTAATACTTAATCTTATTATAAAAGATCTCAATAAAACTACAATAAATCTATTCTCATCTATAAAGCTGAAGAGTTTGTTTATTGGTTTGTTTGAACGCGCTAAACTTAGGAATTACTGTTGGAACTTGAAAGTGATTTTTTTTGTGTTGGTTAGAGCATTTTTCGTAAAGGCTATAGGGTATAAAATGTCGCGACTAATAGGATCGAAGAAACAGTAAGTCATGTGAAAAAATATTAATTCTTGTGGGTTTCTGTTGCGTGCGCTGCGAAAACGATTAAAAAAACCCAAAAAATATGTAGGCAAGCCAGATTCCTCACAAGAACAACGAGACGCTGATGGCGTCTTGTTAACAAAAAGTTAGTTAAGGCAATAAGAAATGTAAGTCGTAATTTTATTTTTATTTATAAATAATAGGTTTTGAACATATTTTACATCATAACTTAGACGGAGTTTCTTTTTTTGGCTCTTTATGTTTGTAAGAAGTAATTATATAATTATATACAATTTTGCAATGCAGTTAAGATACTCCAGCAGTTAAGATAATGTTAAACGTTATTGTCTAACAGTTACACTTGTTCGAAGAACGGTATAAAATTGTTCATATTGTTCTTTACGTATTCTACGGATAACGAGAGATTAAATCGATCGTCCTTCATACGAAAAACCGACAAAAAACATGGAAATTAATTGGCCCCTGCACCGACCCCGAACGCAAACAATTAAGGCTAACGCTTAGCTATTGGCCAATAACCCCGCGTTGTTTGGAAAGATAACCATTTAGCCCGTTCGTTTAATCAACCGCTCTCATTAATAGCGACGTTCTTCTTTTGTGGGACGGCATAGATACCTTTTTCACGAACGTGTTTCATATTAAATGTTTATTTTCCCTCGTAACGTAATACATTTTCGTCTGCGGACTATATTCGGTGACAAACTATTTATTAAGTTTGTGGAGATATTTATTGCTCTATCACGCACCCGCTTTTACAGCATTAGACCAATATTAATGATATTTGGTGTCAATATACTCTTTACACTTAGAAACGAAAAAGACATGTTCCTCCAGGATGAACAAGGACTATTAGGAACTAAGTATTAATACTGGCTTAAGTATAACATTATATATGTTTTACTATAAATATTGTATAGTAGTATTTCTGTAAATACGACCAATAAAGATTTTCATTTTAATTATATTTATGCTAAACGGAAAACAGGAAAAGGTAAGTCGAAATAATACGAAGCCACGTGTAAAGTATTTGACGTAATGGTATATGCGTTAGAATCAATAATTCATTGTTCAGTCGAAATTGAGTGACGTTGATCGGGGTCCGGATATCCGGGTATTCCGCCAATATCGCTATTGTTGTGCTTGTATCAATCGTGCATTTGTTTTTATTAATTTTTAATAATTATTTATTTTTAAATTATGAGACTTAACAAGATATAAGCGGCCTTCACTCAACCGAAGTTATGGAAATGGAATATGACAGAAATATGAAAATTACACTTATTGTTAAAGTCGGTATAAATATTTGTAATCTAAAGAATGTTTACATTGACCTATAAATATAGTTCTCTCGCTGCAACTGCACTATCTCTTTTACGTAAAAAAAAAACAACGGAAAATAATCGGTAATACTTGTAGAGATTACCTTGGCTGCAAACAAATTTAAGAAAAAAATTGTTTATTCTTTCGATATATGTACGTAGATAGCTAGCACGTTACCACGATTGTTCTAGAATGAACCTACGGCTCAGCAGTAGTCAAAGAGTGGCAAGTCCACGAACCAGTTCGTCAAACGAAAATCTTTTTGTAGAAAGTTAAATGAGACCGTCTTACCCTCGAAAGCCGGTTTGCGCCAGTCAAACTTCTCACGAGCTGCCGCTGAAATTTTAATTCGCAATTGAAAAGAAAATTTTCGTCAGCGCTACGTGTCCTCGCCTATCAATCACTCGAATCCCGCTCACTCGGTCGGAGAGCCGAGAATCCCATTCGACTCGTAAGTCGACACAGAGCTGTCAATTATAGCGCAAATAGCTATTGGATTCCCGGTTCCCGGTTCAAACGATCCCGGCCCGTATCTCCAGACCCCGACTGCAACTGCGACACCTCTGCGACCGTTATACACTCCTGGTACCTTGATACACTTCACACAGTGCCTTTGATTTTTTTAAAGTGGCGATGATTACGTGACGCTTTAACGTAGGTTAACTTGACGATTACGAAATATATAAATATTTATTAATGTTATTTTATTGGGGTATTTTATTTATTTTTGTCTACCTTCCTCAATATTAAAAAAAACGTTTTTGATATTACATATATATATATTTATTTTTTGCTTAACATAACAGAGTCAATTTCAATTGTTGACGGTAAACAATTTATCCTTACAATAAGATAAAGCAGGAGACAAGTGAAGTCTTCCTTACGAAGTATATATGCCAATATAATGCTAGTAAATAGCTTTAAAATAATCCAATAATCTCTCCATTTCATCCTCGATTTCGTGCAAGCGGAAAATGTTAACATCGGAATACTTTTAGGTTGCAATATTCAAGCGCCGATTTATAACGCGCGTTTGACAGCGTAAAACTATATCAAGATCGGAGCTTTTCGAGTATATTTCTAT